AGCATATGACACATGCTTCAAAAAGTCCCAGGACCATCCAGACATCAAGTATTAGGATTTTGGGTTTACCTTTGCAGTCAAGTTCCCCTGTGGTAAGCTTCAGAGAAATCATGAAGCTGGTCAAGAGCAAATCACAGGAACTACAGCAGGTCCAAATGCTCATCTTGAAAATGAGGAAATCACAGAGGCCCCAAGCAGCCATCTGGAGGTCACTGGAGAGGCTAGCAGTTTACCCAGTGTGTCCTCGTGGCAGGTAAGACACCCTTTTTCTGAGATGTTTAACACCTAATCCTGCTCACCAGGACTGGCAGCCATTTACTCGTCAACACACTCGTCCTCCCTTGCCAAGGGGACCTAGAAAGATTTCGACTGGCAGCCATTTACTCTTCAACACACTCATCCTCCCTTGCCAAGGGGACCTAGAAAGATTTGAAAAAAACTTCCATGGTGTCAGTGTTTTGGGTAGTCATTCCCCTCTTCTGAGCACCTGATTTTTGGCCTCCGTTTCAGTGCATAGCAAATGTGGAGATGGGAAGGCTAGAGGAGAAGCAGAGGACGGAGAGCTGAGTGAGCCACAAGGCCCCTTCCCTTCCAACCACCCCATTAGTTGGGTTGCAGTGTGGTGGCATCAGAAGAAAATCCTGAGTTCCTGTCGTGGCCATGACTAAAGTGAAAAAAAACCAAGCAACCCTCTGAATGAAGGATGCCTTTGACAGAAAATACATAGGAGAATACCTACTTTAAGAAAACTGCTTAAATCCCAGCTAGCAGTTCCGGATTTCTGTGAACATAAGTTTCTATGTTTTATCTTTCTTCTCTCTCTTTGCAGGCTGTTCTACTAGAAGATGAGTACGATGAATGGTTTTGTGGGGGCACAATTCTGAACGAATATTTTATACTTTCTGCAGCTCATTGCATTAACCCTTCTAAAGACTTATGGGTTCTCGTTGGTAAGTGCTTCTCCTTTTGCCCTTTACTGCAAAAATAAAAAAACTGTCCCATGTTCTAGTCTCCATATGCAAGACACTGAACTCTGACAGAGTTTTTCTTACCCTCTTGTTATTTCTCACCGCTTCATCTTGTCTCTTGGCAAACAGTGAAATACATGTTCAAATTTGTTGCACGGACAGTTTCTTTAAGCTTAGCTTAGCCTAGTGTACCTTGTATATGATAGAAACTAAGTGTGAACTGGGAAAGCGTGTGGGCAAGTAAGATTGAGCTGTTGTAGTTAAACTGGTCTGACATGACAACATTGTGCAATTTCCTGTGTTGGCCAAACCTTGAAGAATTCCAGAGGTCTCATTCAGAGGTTAGCAATAACTATTTTGACTGCATGCAGATATTAGTCTGAGACTGTTCCATACTGGAAACCTCAAATTTATTATTTATTACTGTCATTTATTAATAAGTAGTTCATCACAAGTTCTAGGCACTGAAAAATGGTGTCATAAAATGAGTCATAAAAAATGTACTCAGCTTGCAATAGTTAAGCAAAAATCTTTGCCTAAATTCCAATTGTCTGTCCTTTTAATTCCCAAAGAGATTTAGTATGCAGAATGTTAAAGTTTTAAAATACAATTAATATCTATTTCCTGTTTAAGCTTGTTTGAGTAAGTTTCTCTACAAATGAGAGGAGCAAGATCCTTCTCTTCTCTATTGAGGCTTTTGATTACATATCATAAGAGTGCCATTGGGAATACCGTAATGAAACCCAAAACTTTATATCAAAACCTTCATTTGGAGCATTATAGCAAAGTTGTTTGCTTGGCATTTTGGCAGCTCTCTAAAACCCCTCCAAAAATGTTTAAAATGCTACAGCGTAAGGATACAGGACTGGTCTATTTTATTTGCACAGGACAATGGCTGTACAAAGTGCAAGGAACTTTAGTCTCTTTTTTTTAATTGAGATGCCGTTTAGACTTGTTGATACTGTCTTACTAATAACTGCTTTAATAATCTAACACAGGAATGGTGGACGAAGGAAAGGAAGAGCCAAGCAGAGCAGTGCACAAAGTGGAAAAAGCAATTATGCATCCTGAATTTAATAGAAAAACTTACGACAGTGACATCGCCCTTCTCAAATTAGAGGAACCTCTCATATTTTCTGACCATGTTGTCCCAGCATGCCTTCCAGAAGAAGACTTTGCTAATGACATTCTGATGAACGAAACATTTGGAATTGTCAGTGGCTTTGGGAACATGTTTGAAAGAGAACGACCAGTCGAAAGAATGAAAGTACTTCAAATCTCTTATGTGGACAAGGACACTTGCAAACTCGCCCTTCAAAATCCAGTCACAGAAATCATGTTCTGTGCTGGTTATGACAAAGATGGAAAAGATGCCTGCCAAGGAGATGGAGGAGGCCCCCATGTGACCCAATACAATGGCACTTATTTTGTTACTGGTGTCATCAGCTGGGAAGAAGGCTGTGGAAATCGAGGGAAATATGGAGTATACACCAACTTGACAAAGTTCCTACCTTGGGTAAGAAGTATTTTGACAGAAAACTCTTAACCTTTGGACATTTAATCAACCTTTATTCAACCCCAATTGTCTTAGCCATCAGATCTGATCCCTAAGTAATACCTTCCTCTTTTTAATGTGCTTATTAAAATTCTGGAGTTTGTGGTTCCCTTAAGAGTCACCATCTATTCCTTCATGAGCTAATGCCTGGTTTTCAGAAGGTGGGCTTGGACTCCAGATAGAGCTTGCTGGTTCTGGATGATGACAAAAAGTCTTCAAATGGCTTAGGAACTCCTTCTGCTCTTGGTGTTATAACCTAAGTTTATCTGTTGGAGGCTTTACCTTTGCTGATGAGCCTCCTCCCATAGTGATGAAAGTTGGAAATAATCAGCATTTCTGTGGCAGTACAGTCTAAGAAACCAGACTAGGGAAATATCAAAGACAGTATCAGAATACGAAACATTTTAAAAGTCTCTGGAGAAGCCACCTAATTTTACAGATTTATATACATGCACACACGTATAGAAAAAGCTAGAAAACATAAAAAACTACCATGTACCCACACAGTCTAAATAAGTGGGCATATTACTGAATCAAATGAGTTGTTAGTTGAAGCTCATTGAGTTGAAAAGGCTTGCTTATTGTCATCAAAAATCACCGGTGTTCTCATATTTTCTTGATTTCTTTCTGAGATACTTTCTTCACCAATGTTACTGATACTGTGATACTGGCTATAATAAAGTGACTGCATTGCATAACTTACAGATTACAATATTTGTGTATGTCATAATTTATATAAAGGTGTTATTTAAATTATTTACAATCAAACAGTTTTTAAATCTACAAGTATCATAGAATACTAGGATCATCTAGCCCAAGTATAAATAATCTTTCAGGACTAAGAAAAACCTAACTCTCTGATCAGCTGAACCTGACATCCTCTGCCTTATTTCAATCTAAGTATAAATAATCTTTCCGGACTAAGAAAAACCTAACTCTCTGATCAACTGAACCTGACATCCTCTGCCTTATTTCAATCCAGAATGATAAAAAGACTTGTTTTTCAGCCTTCTCAATGGTACATAAAAACGGTGAATTAGATATTAAGGTGTTTGAATCTCTGCAGAAAAATACTCTGTGATATACTTTAAAAGTGTGTCAGTACGCATTTTGGAAGAGATGGAAAAGAGGGACGTTACATACGATATTGTGTCACAAAGCATGCAATATCTTTCTCATTTTCTGGCTTCACGATCTTCAGTTTGCAGTGTGAAAGTCAGCATTTTGGGGTAATTTTTAATATGGATTGTGCTGGTCAATTTGAAAGGAATATGTTGGTTAAATATGCCCTGCAATAACCACTCTCCTGTTCTCCTATGAAAAACTCAGAAAAATCATGATGGAATCTGAAAAACCAGAACAGAAAAATCACAATGGAAAGCAAAAGCACATCTCTTCTACTTGTGTAATTTCCCCCCATTTTTCTCTGACGTGTCTCCTGAATTTCAAGAGTGCTAAATGAACTCAGTCCTGGAGTGACAGCACACCCCAGGTCATGGCATTCACACCACAGAAAGAAGTTCAGCCCCTGACAGCTGCATATGTGACGCCTGACATCACTGCTCCAAAGGATTTACCCCTGCTTGACTTTCCACTCCATTGAAAACTCTGATTATAGTTCATCCTTAAACTATATATTGAGATGAATCTGATATATGGAACTGTGGGCCATGCTCAGACCTGTCCCAGGGACTAGGAGAAGGCCATTGCACAGGCTTGCACTGCTGACTCGTTTCTCTCACTGCCATCCATCTCTCCTCCTACCCATCCCTGCGTTAC